GGTATTAAATATATACCTTATATCTATATTATATAGTTATATATTTAAATACTACTATAACTATAATAATTAATAGTAATTAAGATATTAGTAATAAGTTTAATATATTTTATATATAATATAATAAAATATATATTATAGTATAAAATTAGCTTTTTTTTATATTTTTATATAAGTGGGAAAAAAAAGGGGGGGCGGACGCTGTTAACGCAACGGACTGTAAACTGAATCTGAGACGGATGACAATGAATCAACATATCTAATCACGAATCCAACATCGAACGTGACAAAAAGAAACCTCCCCATGTCGTGCACACATCTTTCCACAGCCACGATATTTCATTATTGCACAGAACGTGAAAATAACTACGGTCGAGCAATTTCCATACTATTCAAGAGCTAAGCCAGAGGTTCGCTGCGGGATGTACGCGTCAATAGTCTACGGCCTTATTTTCCTCATTCTTTCAGCTCATGCACAGTTTGTTGCCCAGCCAGTAGACCTCAAATCTGTCAAAGGAGCTGCTGGAACCACAGTCCGATTCAAACAAGTACCCAACGGAATATGCGAGACAGACGCGAATGTCAAAACTTTTGCCGGTTACGTCGACGTCAGCCCAACACAGCATATATACTTCTACTTGCTTGAAGCGAAGCAAAATGCGACCTCCACACCTTTGACGATCAGACTGGATGGAGGTCCGGGGGCTCCGTCCATGGCTGGAATGTTCCTCGAACTTGGGCCTTGTAGCATCGATGCTCGTGGAAGGGTGCTGGACAATCCAGACTCCTGGTCAGCTATTAGCAACTTACTGTTCATTGACCAACCAGCAACTGTTGGTTTCTCATACACCAAATTGGTTAACGGCACTATCAACCCTAAAACCGCAGAGATCATCCCGCAACAATGCACATTGGCAGATCCAATGTGTGGCACGTACTCATCGATGGATATTTCTCTGACTCCAAACTCGACGGAGGAGGCAGCTAAGGTTTTCTATCAGGTGATGCAAGGAATCATGGTCGCATTCCCTCAATATACAGCAAATGGTATACACATTACCGGTCAATCGTACGGTGGTCACTATGCACCTATTTTCGCGGACCACATCATGCTGCAAAATCAGCTTGGTGTACCCGACACCGTCAATATACCCTTGAGATCGATTTCCATTGAGGATGGGTTCATGGATAGTCGCGTACAGTTTGGTGCATATTTCAACTACTCGGTATCGCCTGGCAACCCGTACGATATCACGCCGTTCAACGATACCCTCCGTCAAAAACTCTTCACCAACATGTTTGGTACCGGAGGCTGCCAGGAGAAACAGACGGCATGTAATAGCAACCCTACAGACAAGGTATGCGCGGATGCCGATGAATTCTGCATCAAGAACGTCGAAGAGTTCTGGGACGTCAACACTGGTCGGTTCGAAAACGACATACGGTTGCTGTCACCAGCTCCCTACCCGGCACGGAATTTTATCGCATATCTCAACCGAGCCGATATCCAAGCAGCCATCGGAGCCTCCAACAACTTCACTGCCGCCTCAGTGCAAACCAGCATCGCTTTCAGCTCGACCGGCGACGACAGCCGCACAGGTGCGCTCGTCGTACAGTCAATGAAAAATCTCCTCCAACAAGGTGTCACTGTCGCGCTGTTTGTTGGTGACGCCGACTATGATAGCAACATCATCGGCGCTCAAATGGTGGCTGCTGAAGTCGGGGCCGCGAACTGGGCCTCTGCAGGGTTTGTGAACTTGTCAGCGAACAGTGACGGGCAGATTCCTGGGCAGGTTAAGCAAGCTGATGGATTTTCTTTCACGCGACTTTACTTTGCAGGGCACGTCGCGGCATTCAGCCAGCCTGAAGCCGCGCGCCGAATTCAAGAACGCGTAGTCAAAGGCGTGGATATCGCGACTGGAACAATTCCGATGGTGTTCGGGAAGAATTTGATCACAAAGGGACCGCCGGAAAGTTTATTTAAGGAGGGGATGGCGACGGTCCAGACCAAGCCTCTGCCTAAGGGTACGACATATGACCCACACACCCATCTGCCTGTCCTACCGGGACGATCAGCTGTGGTAGATATCAGTGTTGCCGCTCAGGTTGATGGGGATCAGGTCGCAATAGATCATCCGCTAGCGTTTATGACGGCGAAGAACATCAGGAAGCTGGTCAGAGAGAATAAGTCTTCATGAGAGGCTGAATAAAGTAATATGATGTTGATTGACGCACCTGGAAGTGCACCTCCGAGGGCCACTGATGGTTTCGGGGCTTCATAACTTGGGCGAGCATACTGGAGATTTAACTGCACTCCAGGGCGGGCTTCATCCCAGCACGTGGGGAATAAGTCACAGCAGACCCGGGATAAATAATCCAACATTCCAGTAATCACGAGGTAAATTTGAAAACATGACTCTCCATAGGCAGCAGGAAGTCGAACAAAGATTCCTCACTACAACTAGAATTGGTAAGAGTGCACAGAAAGTCCGTGTTCCAACCTAGAAACCTTAGTAAGACTAATGTAAATCGCCACACGTGTCTCCGTCAGCATTCTTCCTGTGTCCTGCGCGTTGGTGTCGGCGTCAGTGTTCTTTCGTTGGAATCATGCATTTCCATCTCATCCGCTAAGCTCTCTGTAGGCGTGTATATCTCTGTGGATTGGTACGTCAGCTATCAACTAATATGTGATTGTCTGCTTCATACTAAGGTGGCACTTCACACTTTCGGGCTGACTTGCGCTCAATTGTAGAGGAGGTGGAGCTTGAAGGCCGAATTGCATCTTCTTGATAAAAGCAGTTAAAAACTCCGAGAACAGTCTCAAGAAGATCGATCTCATTCTCTAGGGAGCGCATTTCATCATAAGGAAATACCCTCTCTACAATAATACTCTCTGTTAGAAATACCACGTCAGAAAGGGTGTACATCTGCGCCTTACCACATGTCCTGTACTTCTCTTTTACAACGCGCAACGCCCTTTCGACTTCTGCAGGCATTCTCAATAAGTAAAAGGACTCATTTAGTGCTAGTTTTGACCTGACATGGTTGAAAAACCCGAGACTCTGATGCAAGCGACGAAAGTTGTCGGTTTCCGGGTGCCGGATGCGGAAGTCGAATCCATCTAGAGTGTAGGGTCTCTGAACACATCTCCCTTCATTGTCTTTGTCTTCCAAGACATACCAACCAAAGCCGAAATCATGGCCACGAAAGCGTTTCTGAACAATTGCTCTGACTTGAAGAGCATCAAGCGTTGTCAAACATGCTGCGCGCGCCACGAAAACTTCCATCGTTCTGTTGCCGAGATGATAATCCCGCTTTTGTGGATCAAAAGATCTAATCTTGATAGCTTGAGGTTTGAAAGATTATCATGTGCGATTATGGTTGTAATGCGGGACTTCGAAATTTGGGAAAGTAACCAATCGTGGTTGTTGAATGTGCTTTGACGGCAGGGATATTGAGGAAGGTCCAGAATGACCATTGGTCCAGGAGACGGCCGTCTAATCTCCAGCCTGAGGACGTCGTCTACCGAGAAGCCGGATTCTTCCACCGCTCTCAGTTCCGTGATGATCCGACCGAAGAGGAATTCGAATAGTCCCTTCCAATCTGAATCTGTCCAACTGATTTCATCTTTGAGAGCAAGCATCTGCTCCTTCGTATCTCGGTCTCGTCCATATGCTGGTACAACTGAAACTTTTATCGATGTTCTCTCCGAAGGTATAAGGACGAATTCCATGGTAAAGTCACTGCCCAAGTAATCTCTTGGTAAGGGCAGGCCAGTCAGCGCCATTATTACTGTCTGTTTCGCTGAGTCGCTGCTTCCCAGAAGAACCACCCTGGGAAGGTCAATATATTGACTGAACCCTTGAAGGTGAAATTCGATCAGCTTTGCAAGCAGTTTACTTTTGTTGCTGAATGAAGAGGACATGGCGAAGCAGTCGAAACTACGGGTATAACATAATATCCCTTGATCAAATGAGTTCGTGTAGGTAGGTGAATTACGTGACAGATGCAGCAGATTGACCGGAAACATGGGAAAGTGGACGTTTTCTGTGATCGGGGGTTCACTCACGGAGACCGCGGGTAAACCTTCAACGTTAACACCTACTGACCAGTGAAAGCTGTAGATCGTGATATGGAACATTTCGTCAGCGTGTAGGCGTAATTCAAGGCAAGGAAGGCTTAGAGTCAACATTAAACCTTTGGAGGAAGACGAGAGGCGTATGGTTGTGACGATGAAAGGAACAGCATGTGGGATTGCACAGGATGTTTCGGTTGATACAGGCTTTAACGGTAAGCCAATACCATTGATCAACTTCAACTATGTCTTGTTGGTTCGAAGTTTGAGATAGAGCTCGCAAATGAAGTCAAATGCCAGTTCAAAGCGGGAGGCCCTCCAGGCAAAAAGTCTAACCACATGTGTGCCGAACCATTTGACTTACAGTTCTACAGCGGGAGGCCCACCATGTGCATCCGAACTATGATCATGCTGTTTCAAATTAAGGTTCATTGTCATGACAAACGTACCATAGTCAGGAGCGCTCGGCTTACCCTCGCTTCTTGGATGACCAACGCCTCTTTCTATTGCCAGCTTCCTACTACTGGCCAACCTGAGACATCTCGTCTGTCACAACGCGACCCATTTTAATATGGATGACTTACTATGCAATTTAAGAGTACCTAGTGACGCAATGGCTCCCTACGCTAAGGCCAGAATGCAGGCAGAATAAAGATCGTAGATGCCCCTTCATTCATGCCGGAGATCAGCCGCGAGGCGGGTCTACTGCGTTAGAACTCCGGACAAACCACGGATACTGTAAAGTTGATGTCCGACAGCTGATCTGCTCTAACGAGAACACGGCAGCATAGTGGCTCAGCGTAAAGTTCTCATTTAGTGGTATATATGCATATCTGACCGATGTAAGGAGGCTGGCTAACCGACCTACACGTGTGATATTGGAGCGGCCAGCCTGATAGACCCGGTGTTTCTCCGGTGTATCCCCGGTAGTCCGTGCTACCGAGCAATGGTAAACTCGACCACACAATCTCGAATGGCGTATCTATCTTTCTTCATTAAACGTGAGATATGCTCGCCCGACATTGGATAAAATATCTTGAAGTCTTTGACGAAGGCTGGAAACATCACTTTGCACATATTGGCAAGCGCACCGCTGAGTTGCGCATATGCGGGCGGTTACTGCCACGGATCCGTCATGGTGACACTGCGGCATTCGGCAGGAGCGATTCCGGTGTTGATATGATGAATAAAATGTAACTCGACCGCAGATTTCGTGGGAACTCAACGAGGCCATCAATCCACGATGCACGCTGCGAGACTTCACCGGAACGACGAAGCACGGCATTCTGAGACTCGCCGTCGCAAAGCCAAAAGGTTTGGAGTGTACCCCGCACTTTCTGGGATAAGTCTAGATCATTAAGAACTCTACATACAGTTTGGAAGGCCTCCCGCTTCATGCGCCTCCCTTGCCGCAAAATTCTCCTCGGGTTCAGAGGGAACAAACCTACGACAACCTGGTTACTTTGGTGTTGCTGGTTCTGATACGTCTTTTCTCATGAAAGAACTCTGGAATTTGAAAGGTCTGTTGCTGCTGCACATGATCTTCATTCTGCTAGCTGGACAGACAACTCTCCTTCACCAAAGCACAGCATCATGACAAATCCTTAGAGACCCGCTCGGTACTCGTGCATATCTATCCCTTGAAAGACCGCACATAAAGGCTGCAAGTCCAAAACAACACATGCTCAATTCTTTTCAATTACGTCCCTGACTATCAACACTCCGCCGTCATCAACGTCGCCAGAATGTCCCTCAACTCTGAAGATCATCATCTTTTAGCCAAGGCCCTACAAGATCTTGCTGTAGAGGGCTTGAGCCAGCACATCAACCTGCCGATGGTAGTCCTTTGTGGTGACAGCGATGAAGCTAAGCATACTGTCATTCAGGCCATGACTGGAGTGTCCCTACCCCAGGAATATTTCAACCACCGGTTTCCGATGGAGTTCCATCTCAGTCAGGCAGAACCAGCATCACCGACAAAGTTTAAAACTTCGATTAAAATTTCGATTGTTCCAGCACCACACAGAGATGAAGACGAAAAGAGGAGAATGATGGCGCTCCGAGACGACTTGGAGTATACTCATGGTTACTGGCATGCACTAATGACGTTCCTCATTGGTCGGACCATCGTCGAATTAGCGGATTTCTCAAACGTTACGATCGAAGACGTCCTTCGGATACAAATACAAGGCCCGCAGCTGGCATCACTCATTATTTCAGTTGTTCCTAAATGGCCACCTCACTACAACGACTACGTTCTCAACAGGGACTGGCTCTTGAAGCATGTAAGAAGCCCCCGCAGCATTACGTTAGTCGCCCACGACAATCTCCTACTTCTCAGAAAGTCGAAGATCAATCGATTTCTGCATTCCAACCTTGATGGTGGTGGAGAACGAACCAGAGCGATCTTCATCGTGCGTAAAAACTTGACTTTCGAGGAGGCAAAGCAAGTCAAAGCAATCACTTCGAACGTTTGCAGAGGTCACAAGTTTAATCTTGGATGGAAGATACTGGAAGAGCAAAACGATAACTTGAACAACTGCCCACCAACTTTAGTCGGAAGATGGTCTTTGCTCAGGGATACACTTGGAAATCCTCCCAGAGTTAGCCCGGGTTCCGGCTTGTCTTGCGACAACGTCATATCTGAATCCGAACAAGGCACGATTCTCGACATTGAGGCCATTATAGAAGAAATCAACGCCGCCTTGTTCAAATCCAGGCTGACCAGGAGACTCGCTGACGGAAGCCCCGAGGCTAGAGGAGACACGAGGAAAGAAGCAGCTTTGGAAGAAAAGTGTGCCCTACTAGAAAAGGCCCTACA